CACTTGGCACAAAGTGTGAGAAAAGGCCAAAAAAGTGTCCACTTACAAGTCAGGAAATTGGGTTTATTGAACTGTGGGATAAGGAGAATCTGCATCCTGTTTCTCATTCTCTGCACAGCCGAGTGCAGGAGTGGCTCAGGGCGCCAGCAGCAGGCAGCCTGACTGCACGCTGACCCCAGGGTCTCCCCTCCCCTCGCCCTCCACTGCCCTCACTTCCCGTGCTTTCTCAGACTTGGACTTCCTCCATCCGAGAAGTCCCTCCCAGCACTTTTACAGAAACAGCCTTAAAGCCACATCAGGCCAGCCTGTGGGGAAGGCAGACCAGCTGGTGTGGCAGGCTCTTGGTCCGTCTGTCATGTCGAGGACCAGTGGGGACACTCGCGTTTGGAAGCCAGGGTGCTGCGTCCGAATCGCATCCCAGCAGATGGCGATGTTCTTTATCTTGGAAAAGATGCAGCCAGTGTTGGCCCAGCCCCTGTTTGTTTCCGCTCAGAGCCCCGACACCAACCTACCACTCCCTGGCACCGCGGTCAAATGCAGAAAAGCCACTGTCCCCCTGTCCATAAAGACCGGCCCTTGCCAGTGATTATTTAGAGACGGGGGAAGCTCTCGGGCTCCCTCTGCTGACATTGGATTTATGTGTAGGCTCATTCGAGACAACTCTTCCCAGAAGGTTCCCGTGTCTTGCGTGATTGGAAGGAAAAATGGAAGAGGACAGCAGGGAGGGCTGGCCACGAGTCGTCAGGCTTCTGCTGCCTGGCACTGAGGAGCCTGGGGGTCGAGCTGGGGGGCCTGGTCTGCGCGCTGTGGGGGGCCGCCAGGTGTGCGGGTGTCCCGGGTTTCTCCCTGGGCAGGGGCAGCCCTTGGCTCTCCAGGGGAGAGGAGGGACGGGGCCGATCCAGGGAGGACAAGGCTTTGCGGGTCTGTGTGCTCTGCCGCCGGCCTTCCTCTGCTGCGCCCTCCGCCCAGCCTCCCGTCAGAGTGAATTTAGACCACGGCCCAGTGCTTAGGACTGAAGTGAGGGATCGCACACGTCGCATGGTTTTGAATCCTGGTGACTAGGGGCAGGCTCCTTTAACAGGGAATTCTCATGTGGCGAGTGCATAGCAAGCCGCAGCCCTGCGGTGAAATCCCGTGTCACACTTGGAATTGGCCCATGGAGAGCGTCGTGGTCCGGGCGGACGGGTCACAGGGGTGTGCGGAGGCGGCCCGTCGGCAGCGAGTCTCATTTCGGGTGAGGAAGAGGGTGACCCTTCCAGGTAGATAACATGGGCAGAATGGTGATCAGTCCCTTCTTAGAAGGACTGAAACTTGAGCTAATCAAAACTGGGGGAAAGAGGCTATGACAGCCACATGGAGGTGGAGTTCATGCCTGCAGGAGGGAGTGTGGGGTCTGCAAAGGGAGGCAGCCAGGGGCCACATGCAGGACCCCAGGGCGAGTCCCGTCGGAGGGGCCCAGGCAACAGCAGAGGGAGGTTGGCCTGGAGGACTGAGTGACGGGGGAAGGCAGCAGGTGCCCCG